TTGTTTGTTTGTTTGTTTGTTTGTTTTTTGTTTTTGATTTTGTTTTTTGTTTTTATTTTAATGTTAGGCTAAAAAGGGGGGAAAAAGCAAGATAAAATGAAAAAGAAAAATGAAGAAAAAGTGAAGGAAAGAAGGAAGAAAATAGAAAGAAAAAGAAAGAAAGAAAGAAAGAAAGATGAAGAAAAAAATAATGATAAACAAAAAGATAGGGAGAGCTAGAGTGAAATAGCAGTTTCATATCCCAATTTACAACTAACCAACTGAATTTGGTTTCAGTTTTTATGATATTAAAAGAACCAAGGTTAGCTATAGGATCATTGAGGATCTAACCTCTCTATTATGATGAACAAACCATAGAAATGCATCTAAACTGACAAGACACAACTAAATCTTCTATTTGTATTGCCTTCACTATGTAGAAAAAATGCGAGCAGCATTTTCTCCAATTATTCTTACACTTGATATATACGGATACACATTCAAATTAGATTTATCGTTATTCTCGACTTTCAGATCCCCATAATCCTTTGCGTCTTTGAGGGTAACCAGAGGGTAAAAACCCACTTATTTTGCTGAAGGCTGATCAGACAATGATGAAAATACCTTGTTTGGTATCCAAAGATAAAGTGAAGAAGTAAAAAACGGAAAAAGATAGAAGCTTGAAGACGTTTAAGGTAAATTTTAAACATTTTTTAGTAAATCAATACATTTTCTGTAAGAGCAAAACTCTTGATGATCTGTACACGCAAAAATAACTTGGAATAAACTGATAATCAGTATTGTACAGATAAAAGCAGTTATAGTATATATTCAATTAAGAAACCTTTCAATTTGGGACAGTTTTTTGATTGGTTATCCCCCAAAAACGCAAGGCATTATGCGGATGTGAAAGTCGAGAATAGAACGATAACAGAAAGGTTATAATTTCATTTCTGTTAATAAGATTCTTCCGAAGAAAGTTTCTTTACAAAGGCAGAGAATCGTCTAGAATTTTATCGATTTTTTCAATCTAATAATTCGATCGCTTCTGATTAGAGCAATAAAATATACAAATTGCCGTTTCAACTGTAAAAGCAATTGTATACAAGAAAACAGACACATCTATTTTACCGCTGGGATAATAATTTCCTCACAATAAGATGAGTTACAAGCGGAACATCAAAGAAATTGCAAGTCACCTTAATCTTCAAATTGATCGTTTTAGGTCCTGGAAGGAGTGTTTAAAAATTGTAAACATTTGCTTTATTTATCTATGGAATGCGCACGCCAACGCGTTCGACATTTGTATTCGAAGCCAAAGTAATGCATTGGTGTAGCGTGTGTTTTATTGGTCGTGCGGAACTAAAAGCTTTAGGTGAAGAAAATGAAACTGATTGTTTGGTTTTGATACTAAGCTGAAATGACCACAAGCACGATGCAACGATGAGAAACGCAATTTAAGGTAAGAATACTTTATATAGTATAGGAAAACAATGACAGAATATGGAAAATGAAATAATTAGCTAAAGGTAATGAGAGAAGGCAGATCGACGATTCGTTAAGGAATAGAGTGAAGGAAAATATAGGAATAAAAGAAAGAAAGAGATGCGAATAAAGGAAATAATCGCGAAAAGAAAAAAAAAATGTAGAGGGAAAGACGAAGCTAAAAGAAACAAAGTAATAGGGAAAAAGAAAGGCGGAAAACAAAAACAAACAAAGAAGAAAAAAAGAAGAGGAAAGAGGAAAGAAAAGAAAAAAAGGAAAAAGAAAGAAAGAGAAGAAAAGAAAGAAAAGAAAAGAAAGAAAGAAAGAAAAAAAAAGTTTTGAAGGACACATGGTTGCACAACCGCAGAATTTGCGCCAAAACACCACACTCAAAACTATGAATAAAAAATTGATCTATAATAGGATAGGGAAAAAACGCAAAAAAAATAAAGTACTAGATTGAAAAACCACAACCAAACTGTTTTTAATGTTGAGGTTAGGCTTGAAATGCGTGGATCCTCTCACATATGTGATCTAGCTCTCTTTCTCTTATTTTAATACCCCTTTTGGTGACCGATAGTCTAGTAGGAGTATTACAAGATTAATGTGGAAGCCAAACGAACTTCATATATAATGAATCTTTATTTTAATTTTGAGCCCTGCTTTCAATATTTTAAAATCAAATTGAAAATAGAGGTGTTTAAAATTTGAATGTGATCGTTCTTTTAACGATGGAATTAGAATATTTATTTCTTTTAGAACCCCGCAAAAAATGTTCCCGATCCTTCTTAGTTTTAAAGACATCTATTGGCAAGCTTTTATGTTTCTGTAAGCGAATGCTTGATTCAGTTTTACTGAAGCATATTATGCCTCAAAGTTGTGCTTGAAAACATAATGCATCTTCTTTACAATAAATAAATATTTCCTGAATTTCCTCGAGTGACCGAGATCGAGATCGGACTTGATAATATACAGTAAATGTATGAACACATCAAGTCCAACTTGGACTTGCAACCATTGTTCGTGTTAACTCAAGCGATTCTCGGGAAAGGGTGATTGTGGTATGACCATCTCTACATACTTTGAAAATATAGATTAAGATGTCGAGACCCAGCGGGGCGAGATCACCTGACCTCCCTTCCAATATACTTTATTTGATTAGGGTATCTATCAATAAGACCTTTTTGAACAAATAGCGAAATGCTTTACAGATGGAATGCAAAAGGAAATAAAAATATTTTGAAAATCTTTCGTTTTTCTCGAGGAAAGATGTGAAAGTTAAAAGCATACCGACCGGAAATCTGACGTTCCTACGCGAAGAATGCCTCAGGAAAAATTACACTTCTCATATACAGTTCAAAATAAATAAAGCGAAAAAAGCACAGAAGAAAAAATGACAACGTTTGCTAACGGGTTTTCAGGAGATAAATCTACATTTTGACCTAAGCATGTTTTGTCCAATTACCGTCACGCTTTGTACGTCTATTTGCAGTACTTTGCCAGAACGCACCTAAAAGTGAAGTTCTCCATCGTTCTGTGACATATTGGCTGACTATATATTTGCTAAAGGTTAGTATGTATATATGTTTTCGATGTTGATAATGTGTTAAGGTTGACTTAAGAGAATGCTGATTTTATTATATAATCTCAAATAGAAATAATTTAAATACAATTTAAAATATGTACATTGGTTATAAAAAAGAGTATAGGAAATCGCACGATCTCGAGTACAATTCGGAATTTATAGGTACGAGTGATGCTTTGAAAGTTTTCAAAATTGGACGAGCCTTTAGGCGAGTTCAATTTGAGAACTTTAAAAACATCATGAGCATTTATAAATTCCGGATTATACGAGAAGATTGTGCGATTTTTTTAAATAATATACTTTAAAAAATTGAGCAACTTAATTATAAACCACAAAACCACACCAAAACATTTAAAACAATTCACCATCCCTACGCGATTTTTAACTTCCCTACCACAAACTACATATTGTATCTCTTTTGTCTTTGTTTGTTTTCTGTTTTTGCATATAGCAAACACACTAAAAAATAAAAAATAATGGCTATCCTAGCAGCTAAATATAAATTACAACCAACGCGTTGAAAAAGACACTGCCTTGAAATTTATTACTACAAACGACCATATGGTCCATTGATTCCCCACTTTACTTACGTAACCTTGTACATCAGTGTATCCAATATGCCTACCTCTCTTCTCTTAATTAAATATTAATTTGATTCCATCTAGATTGACAATGCACTCTACTCTAACTTTGTCAGTATTTGATCCCCATTAGATAATCTTTGCTGATAATAATATGTCGACACCATATTTATTGTTGAGGGATTTGTTGATGACTTTTGAGCATTGCGGCTCTGGAATCTTCCAGGTTGGAGTAATCCAGGAAAAGTAGTAGAGATTGTCATGGCCACAGGAAATTATAGGATAATGGGCGGATGGCTTTTTCCTGGTAATCTTGCTATCTACCTGGACTACCTCTAAGACGTTTGGAGAAAATTCTAGAATAGAATCTATATCTCTTATATTCGTTTTTCTCTTCTTTGTTCCCTCGCGAACGTGTGGTCTTTGAATTGAACTGAACCGCGATTTTTGTAACTTTGATGACACAAAACTAGAAGGGAAAAATTTCCAAACAAGCGGATTTGAAAGCTTTTTTTTTTTTTTTTTTTTTTTTNCCCCCCATATATATATATATATATATATAATATTGTTTTGAGGAAAGAGAGTACGTAGCGCCCGGGGAAGGGGAGGGGGAAGGGGTAGGGGAATTACACTATATAAGGTTTAGAGTTGGGTAACAGCCGTGTCACGATGTCACGCGATCACGCAAAGTTATCATGGTCCATTTGCCTCATTTTATACCACAGGTATAGCAGGACCCTAAAGCAAAGAGAGACGCCTTCGAAGAAGTTTGTATATTTTATCAGGATTATACTACATCCAGAAATCAGAGGGGAGGGGTAGGAGGACAAAATTTGATTTTTCAGGGGGAGGGGGACAGTCCAAATATGAGGGAGGGGAGGGTGGGAAGTTTGCTTTCAACAAATAGAAAACTCGGATCCGAAAAAGTTGTACATAGTATTTTTAAGTGAATCTAAAAATTAGTTTTGAATAGATGTGATTTTATTCCAGATTTTCATATAATGGTTTAACAATATCCTTACTTTGTAAGAAAAAAGAGGAAAAAGTACATTGTATAGTAACAATTATCAAAATTGTCTTCACACTGATGTACATATTCTGATTCTTTGAATCTTTCTAGACAATATATAAATATTTACGTGATATAAATGTATTACACACGTGATTTACGTAACATGTTCTTCGTAAAATTATAAAGAATAAATAAATAATTTTAAATACGGATAACGTTTTAAATAATGTTGGCCGAGGAGCTCTGGGTACGTGTTGAGCCTCATTTTCAATTACTATGCGCATGCGCAATCCTGAATTACAGTCAAACTTCCATATGACGTGTAGATAGGACGACACAGCCTAGTTCCATACTTGGAGATGCTTTCACTACAGCCATCATAGGAAATGTTGAGGCATTCCACTGTGAAGTAGTTTTTATATTTTGTATACGAGTTTGGTTTATAGCAGGGATTAGCATTCAGGCTTCTCCTGATGCGCTCATGGATATCCAACTCATTTATGGCTTCTCGGGCTTCCTGTGGTACAGATTGGGTTGAGTTTCTTTCCAATATGACGTCATAGGGTCGCGCGGTTACTTGTAATAAAACACATGTGAGCAAGACAACTACTGCGCATGCCTGAAAAGATAAATTAACAAAAAAGGCACTATTAGCCGGGAAAGAGATTAGTAATTTAAACTCATCACTATCGTTATCCTATAGCTCAGTTTTAAAATGGGAAACCTTAGAAGAAGCCTTAGTAACCTTAGCTCAAAACACGTCTAATTAGCCGGTTACTTCAGCTAAAACGGAACCGGAAATAGCTGGTTTGAGTTTTTGAGTTAGAACTCGGCTCGATCCTTTCACTTCAAACTCCAGAATAAAAGCTGCTGTTGGCGAGGAATTTCTGCAACATTTTTTCAGAAAGACGATTGCTCTTAATAGTTACTACCGTATTAGAAAAAGAATACAAAAGAAAGATGGAAAGAAAAATAAAAATGAAGAAAAACGAATCGAAGGATGTGTTGCTCGCACGAACCAAACGCAGTGTCTTAAACAACTGCATTACTTTACGCGGGAAAAATTTATTTATAAACCTTTTTCGCGTATAAATCAAAATAAAAACACGTACAATCCCATTCAAACTCTTTAGATTAACCCTTTTTTTTTTTTTTTTTTTTTTTTTTTTTAGATTATTTTTTTTTTTTATAATGACTTTATCTCAAGGGGATAAACACGTAATGGTGTACAACCACTAAAAAACTGTGATCTATACAATCAAACTAGTTTTTCCTGGAGAAAATTTAAACACTACATAGTTCAAACCGACATATTTCTATTCTTTTAAAATCAAGGAAAAACGTGTACTGCCAGTGTAAAAATTTTTTCTATTTTTGTTGAGATTTACATAAAAAGCAAAGTCATCTTATAATTGATATACTTTCGTTTCTGACAAGTTAAGTCAAACTTTGACAGAACCAATACTCGAGTAACATTAAGACATTAGTAGTATAGTATTCCAGAGACAAATCACTGTAAAGTAGATGCTATATTTTGTTACCCGTTGGTGACTTCCAATGCTGCAAATTGCATTAAAGTCCAAACAAAGTTGCTGCCTACTGATGCTCGTCGGTAATTCAATTCAGATAGCAATCAAAATCACAGACTTTGAGGTACTGTAGAGCACTAAGATTCCTCCCCAAGGACAATTATTTGATTAAAATCCATTAAAGAAAAGTTTTAGAGTAATTAAGGTTCTGTTCATGTCAAGTTCCCTTTGACATAAATCTTACTAGACGTCACATTCCAAACCCTAGAGATAAATCTTTTGTGTATACATTGTATACTCCCTAATGATGTCATATTGGGGACTTACATGATTAACCCATTTAAATGCACTTGCTAGACCTTACTAGGCTCATTTGCTCTCAAACGCCTGGACTAGTGTCAGTCAGTCTAAGAACACTAAGGAACAACTTCAAATTCTTCATCTCAGGTAGGTGAGAAACCTTCAGTACTATAGATTGATGGCGGAGCTATAATTGCAGCTTTTGATTGTGTAAAAAAAATCAAAATTGATTGATTGCCGTTTAAATTTCTAGTGGCATTCGTTGTTGATGGTTTTTTCTTTTCTTCTTTGAAACTAAAAAAAAAGGAAGAAAGAAAGAAAGAAAAAAGACTCTGAAGATGACTTCAGGTTGTCGAAACGTCAGTCACATCAAACAGTCCTTCTCAGGGCTACATCCACCCGGATGATCATAACACTTCGATAGATTAACAAAGAAAAAAGAGATACGGGGAAAAAAAACTTCTCCCCCGATCAAAATTTGACGATTTTCAAAAATTATGTCATTTTTCGTACAAAAATTCAGATAGCCAAATATATATATTTTAAATTTAAAAGGTTTGTATAGAAACCATCCTTGGACGATGCATTACAAGATTTATGTATAAACAGCTTTGAAATTGTAATTTATGATCTCGAAAAGCTAAAAAGGCAAATGAATGATCACAATAACATGGCACCAAACTGTGTTCATAATTATGACAGAATTCAAAGATTTCTTTTAACGATCTTTCTCCGCAACAAGAAAGAAATGCATTAGGATATAATGAGTTTTTTTATTACTTTTGTGAAGGAACAGAATTTCCATCGGTAAAAAAAAAAAAAAAAAAAAAAAAAAAATGATGTAGCGCCTAGCTTTAAAACTAAGTTTTAAATTTGCTACCAAGGACGTTCAATATTATTAGTGCAATCGCTTTTCGGAAAACTATGGGAATCAATAATTACTTAAATATAGACGCTCTATACTTTGAGATACAAGTAACTGATGTTAAAAACCTATCCAAACGCCTAGAAATTCTCCCCCCGTCATTCTTTGTATGTATACCGTGTAATTTCAGATATTAGGGTTGAAAAAAGCAAACAATAGGTATAGTTTTGTGAATACGAAATTCTCATTATACTCGAGCGTCAAAAAAAAAAAACAAAAAAAAAAAACAAAGCCTACAAGACCTCGCTTAATTACAAAACCTTTTTCTCTTTTTCATCGCATCCATATCTTATCTTTTCTCTGTAAGGTTATTTCAAAGCGGTTATAATTCTTTAACGTTATCAGATAACGAGAATATGGGACCCTTAGGGTAATATACGAAGACGAAAGTTAGATTTTAATAATTTAAAACCTAACGAATATCTAAGAATATGAATATTACTTAGAGAAAACAATACCTCTGGAAACTATTTCCATCGATAAAGAAATGCAAACATATAGTACTTTTTAATTTCTCTTCACAGCTTAGGTTTATTAGTATATTCTCCACTCGTTTGGCCTCACATTAGCTGTAAATTGGACGGTACCGTTTGTTGTCAAGGTATTTAAAACATTCAATGTGATATTTATATATATTTCACTTAATTTTGCACCATTTTTTCTTTTGATTCTTAATCGTTTATACCAATTACTTGGGTGAGAAAAAGTGAATTTGTTTCAGGCTAAATTGACATTCGATTATATTTTATCCTAGATTGTATATGATATTTTACTTGATTTTTTTTTTTTTTTTTCTTTTTTTTTTTTTTTTCCTTTCTTTTTTCTTTAGATGCTGTAGTGCAAATTGACTGAAGACAGTCCTGACATTAAATAGTTCGAGAAAATTCTCAATCTGCCAGTTGGCTAGTACTTTGACAAGACCTAAGCATATATAGCTGTTCAAGCTGTTCGTTGAGAACAATACAAAGGTAGTACATTCAGTTCCAGACTGACAAGACAGCCCTGTCGCCTAAAGACTTCAACGGAAAATTCCCATCCTGCTAGTCGCCGGCTAGTACTGACAAGACCTAAGCATAGTAAAGACAAGCTGTTGTTGAGAGAAACACAAGCTTATTACATTCAGTTCCAGACTGACCGGCCATCTGTGGCGCCATTTTTCTCGCGGAAATTCTAAGACGAGTTGCAAGTAAATGTGGCGGCCTTTCAGGCGAGAAAAGAGGACTTCAAGAGTGGCAATCCAATAAAAGTGGGAGAAATTTACACAAAACAAGAGGTAATCAAGCAATACAGGAAAACTTGTATATAGGAACCACGTTATTCCTATTGAGTGAAATATCTATTAAGAAATCTAATATAAATACGGTTTAATTTTGAAGGACTTCAAGTCGAAGAAAACGAGAAAACCGAAATAAAAAACGTGAAACTAAAAGCAAACAAAAAAAAGAAGATAATATTTACAAAACACCATCTCAGTACTGTTCTACATATATCTCTTTGAATATGTAGATGAGCTTAGCATGGTCGTTCGTCCGTTAATTACTCAGGAATATATATCGTGAATTAAAACCGTGCTTAAAAGCCGACTTAAGTGAAGTTGAAGATCAAAGGATGAAGATGAATGTTATTGTAAACAATACCAATGGTACCTCGAATTCAAGTTCAACGACCGAGCCAACAGAGAACGTAACCGAGAGAACTGTTCGTTTAACCTTTTATGTAGCAACCTTTGTACTGGGAATGATTGGAAATATTCTCGTTATGGTGATATTAGGCAAGAAAAGCAAGCGCTCCATCCATGAAATGTTTATTTTCAATTTAGCAGTTTCGGACCTGACATTTATTGCGTTTTGTTTGCCCGTCAACGGCTATGAACTGTTTGAAATAATACCTAAAATAGAATTCTACTGTCGTTTTATTTTTCTCATGCAGACTATCACCTACTTTATAAGTATATATACAATAACATCAATGGCTATTCATCGATGCTACGTAATCGTGAACCCTTATAAGCCTAAAATGTCCACAAAGTCTGCATCTGTTTGGATCGCATTCATTTGGTTGATTTCCTTAATCATCGTTATTCCAATTGCCGTCGTTAACCAGTCGGTGAACGATGAATGTCAAGAGAATTGGTTGGACCCGTATCACGCTAAGGTCTACACGGCAGCATTGTTCGTTCTTCAGTTCCTCCTTCCATTGTGTATCATTGCAATTGCCTATATTTGGATAGGGATTTACCTAGTCATGAACAAGGGCCCTCAGACGTCGATAGGAGGCAGAAGAAGAACCGCAAGCCACCAGAAAAAGCGAAGAGAAAACAAACAGATTATTACGACATTAGCTGCGATAGTGATTCTTTTCACCATCTGCTTGCTACCTGGTCAAATAGCCTGGATGGTACGAGATTTTGGCTCGCCAAAACAACAAAACGACATTGAAGTGGTTTTTAAATTTTCAGACATTCTTGACTTCATCCACGCATGCGTAAATCCTATCATCTATGGACTGCTGACCGATAAATTTCGGAAGGACTACAAAGATGTTCTTGCAAAGATATTCACGTGCGGGAAAACTACTGTGGTGCCTGGTACGAATGATACTACTTTTCAGATGGAAGCGAGTAATAATAGTGGCCAACAAGCTGCCAACCCTGAGTTACCTAGTGATGTGTATTCTGTCGATATTAAAGGATCCCTTGAACATACTAATGGACAACAAACGTGTTCTGACGATATTAAAGGATCCCTTGAACAAACTAATGGACAACAAACATGCACAAATAATCATGAAGATTTCAGATTGTAAGAATACATTAGTATTTTGATATATCCAATTTGCCTAACTATGACAGGAATGATTGAAGATGCCATGTACCTTAAAGAAGTAACCTGGAAAAAATCGCCAAAAATACTGATGGAGACAGTGGTACTTCATACGGTACACTCTTGTTACTATGATTCAGAGTGGGAAGCAATCTATGTACGTACAGCTGAACCAAGCCATTGCGCATGCACCACTAATGTACAGTCCTTTTGCAGCTAGAAACAAAAGCAATTTCCATCTTTATCAAGTTATGTGTAATTGCTGTCGCCACAGTTATCGGACAAATTAAAGTCCGCACCCTTGACAAAGTGGATCAAACGGCTGGAGATCAAGTTATTCACTCGTGCTCATTCAGCAAGATAATTCGTTAATGCCAAAAGCAAAAAGCTTACCATTATTAGCGATGGACTATGTTTTTGCCTTAATTAACTAGCGCTAAATGTATAGAGGGTAAAGAATTGTTTCATGGAATGAGATTTATAAATGCAGCCATGGTTAGAATGATTATACAGTATGCCGTGGGTAAAGTTTCTAACGTGATTTTGAAGAATTTTGTACATATATATACAACCATATGTATAAACTATATATGAC